CCCTCCCCTCTCCCACCCTCTCTCTTCCCCTCTCCCACCTCCTTTTCCCAGTCTCCCCGAGTTTTGTTCAATAAAGAGAGATTCTATTTTTGACCACACGTTTTCTTTATTTTGTACATCAGGAAGGGGGGCTAGGGAAGGGTAAGTGGAAGGAGGTGAGGGAGGAATGGGGTACGAGCCCCCGATGGGGAGGACTGGGCTGGCTCTGCGGGCTTCTCGGGGTGGAAGTTCTCCTGCAACCCCCCGATTGCCTCCTCCCTCCGGATGGCAGCCTGTGGCAAGTGCAGCTGGGATGATGGCCGAGTGCTGCGATGTTCCGCGTGTGGGCACTCATGGCACTCCAAGCTAGGACTGCTTTGCCAGCGGGGAACCCTGACAACTGTCTGTCTGGGGTGGGGGTTGGGTCCCTTTAAGCACAGCCCTCGGCTAGCCTGAGACAGCAGCTCCACGCTTTAAGTCCTCATCTGATGCCCTGCCGGCACTGCTTCCGGCCATCCTTAACCTCGGTTCAGGGTCCACTCAATGTGGACATGCTAGTTCGAATTAGCAAAATGCTAATTTGAACTAGTTTTTAGGTCTAGATGCACTAGTTCGAATTAGCTTAGTTCAAATTAACTAATTCGAATTAAGTTAGTTTGAATTAGTGCTGTAGTGTAGACGTAATCTGATGCCCTGCCGGCACTGCTTCCGGCCATCCTTAACCTCGGTTCAGGGTCCACTCAATGTGGACATGCTAGTTCGAATTAGCAAAATGCTAATTTGAACTAGTTTTTAGGTCTAGATGCACTAGTTCGAATTAGCTTAGTTCAAATTAACTAATTCGAATTAAGTTAGTTTGAATTAGTGCTGTAGTGTAGACGTACCCTAGGAGGGCAGATATTTCCTATGGCTGCTTGGTCAGTCATGCTGTGTCACGTGCTTTCAGGGGCTCCTATCTATGGCTGGACACTATCACAAGCCACTCCTCCACTGCCTCCACCCTTCTGGGACACAAAAGGGAAGGAGTGGGCATGTGACTTTTTGTGGTCTGATTGCCGTTGCAGATGTCACAGCACTCACAGCATGGAGCCAGAGCTGCTGCAAAGCAGTGCTAGGTTCACAGGCCTCATGCTGCACCTCACGGCACAGAACTTCCACACAGCCTGCATGTTGTTCCAGCAGGAAGAGAATAAGGACCTGCAGTACAAACCCCACCATGGACTGCAGGCCCTGCTCACTCAGGTCCTGGCTCTCCTGCTGCTGCAGATGCCCTTTAATCCCCTGGACACGGAGGAACACTGCTTCTAGCAGTGGGAAACGAGCACAGACTGTATGGGACAATCAGCAGGGGCTACAGAACTTCCGGGAGTACTGCGAGTGGCTCACCCCAGCCCTCAGGCGACAGGACACCCGCATGTAATCCACCATCCCCGAGCAGAAGCACATGGGCATCAACCTGTGGAGACTTGCCACGCCAGACACCTACCTCTTTATCAGTTCAGTGTGGGGAAATCCAGCTGGGGACGTGCTCCTGCAGGTAGCCATGGCTATCAACCACATGCTGCTACAGAGGGTCGTCACTCTGGGGAATGTGGACAGCATCATGGATGGCTTGGCTGCCATGGGCTTCCCCAGCTGTGGGTGGAATGTAGACAGCACCAACATCCCCATCCTGGCCCCTGACCACCATGCCTCAGACTTGGTATTTCTCCACGGTGCTGCAGGCCCTTGTGGATCACCAAGGATGCCTCATGGACATCAGTGTCAGATGGTCAGAAAAGGCGCACAACACCCACATCTTCCGGAACTCCTACCTGTTCTGAAAGATGCACGCCAGCACTTTTTTCCCCAGCTGCACCATCAGAGTCGAGGAGGTGGACATACACATCATCATCCTTGGCGATGCAGCCTACCCTTGATCCCCTAGCTCATGAAGCCCTACACAGGCAACCTGGATCCCAGCAAGGAGCAGTTCAATGCCAGGCTGAGCAGGTGCCACATCGTTGTTGAATGTGCATTTGGCTGATTAAAGGAGAGGTTCAGGAGTCTCCTCACCTGCCTGGACCTCAGCAAGTGCAACATCCCCTGCTGTGTGCTCCTCAACTTTTGCAAAAGCAAAAGGGGGAGACTTTCCTGCTGGGGTGAGGGACTGAGGCTAAATGTCTGGACAGGGAATTTGAGCAGCCAGATATCAGTGCCATCAGGAGAGCACATCAAGGGGCTGTGCTCATCAGAGCGGCCTTGAGGGAGAGTTTCATGTAAGGTCAATTGTGAAACTCTCCTCCATGCCTCTCCACAAGGGGCCCCTGCATTCCCTGTGTGTGTCTTTCCTCACCTACCCCTCTCTTTCTCAGTCTCCCTTCCTATCTCCCTCAGTCCCCTGCAGAGCTAACAATAAAGCCATCTCTTGGGGGGAAAACAGGACTCTTTATTGTGGGGGCCTAGAACAAGGGAGGGACTGGGAAAAGAACCTAGAATGGGAGAGAAGGGAGAAGGGCTCAGGGATGGGGACGGGAGAGGCACCTGTGTCCAGGTGGTCTGGAGGCTTTAGCTGTCCAAGGGGGCCCACTGCCCCATGTTCTGGGGCCCTGGTGGTCCCTGGGGAAGTTAGGAGAAGAAGGCATTACTTAGGAAAGTTAAGAAAAAACCCTGCTGAAGCATGTTGGTATATGCCCAAATATATACTCTGCACAGCTCTCTACTCACCTAAGCAATGTCTCCCCCATCTGCACTCATATTTTTAGCAGTGTGGTGTTCTGCTGCCTCCCTCTGACATGGTGGTAGTAGGGGTCACCCCTCCTGCCATTGCCCAATGCCAGGGCCCTGTAATCCATAGGATAGTTGGGGCAGCTGCTGCGGGGCCCCCAAAAGTGCGGGACATGGGACCAGCCACCCTGATTCATCCTATGACTGGGACAACATATCCCTTATCTTAAACACTGTGCTTGTCTGTTAAAATTATAAACTTTTTGTGCAGGGACTGTCATGCAATGGAACACCTAAATACATATAAATAATACAGTTATAGGACACTATTACACAGAAGACAGTTTCCCTCCCCTCCCCCCAAATCAGGAGGGATGAGAATGCAACACAACGTAGGACACTTCTTAGTTTTGAGAGATGTTAAGATCTATGGATCTGATTCTCCTCCCACTTACATCAGTCCAGAAGTCAGAGAAAGGTATTACCACAGGGGTTACTCATGATTTACACTAGAGATAAGAATCAAGTCCAATGTGAGGAAATTAAATGGTCCAATGCTTCCATTTTACATTTAGTCTTAAGCAATATCCATTCTGTTTTATGAATGCTTTTAGAAAAGAATGGGCCAGATCCTGTAGACCTGTCTCACTCAAAACCCATTGACATGAATGGAGATTTTGGCTGATTCCGGACTGTAGAATGTACCTTATTTCAAAAGCGTACTTACTTTCTCTATAATAACAGATATGAATCACTTGCAAATGAGTGCAAGTTCTTACCCATGCCCAATTGGGATTTACATTTTTTGCACGAAGTATTTTGGCCTGCTCCCAATTATAGGGCTTTGACCTCAGTTGTTTGCTTCCCTCTAAAATGAAGCAAATCCTCAATTTTTAAGCTGCAGCCACTGCAGACATGGAGAGACCAGTAAGCGAAACATAAACAATACTTTCAATGTACCAACATGGAACATTACTTTCTTCCCCAGTGTCTTTTTAATTGTTAAATTTAAAGTCTTTAGACTGAATATCCATAAAATGTAATGAGCTCCTCAGCTGGACTTCTGCTCTGCTCCTATATAGTCTTATATTTTTTAAAATGCAGCTATTTTTGTTTTGTGATATGTTGCACATTCCCAGGTCCTTAATGTCCTATACTCATTTTCCACCCACAAAGGGGTCCTCGTGCTATTACTTTTCTGACTCAGCTAGGGACAAATTCACCCCAGGATAAAAAATGAACTTTCCAAATTTTTTCTTGAGTTTTCAGAGCATTGACCTGTGATTACTATACAATTGACTTTGCTTAGTCTCCTTTGACCAGTTCAGCCCTGCGCTGATATCAGATCAGGCACAGGGACAGAGAGCTTCTCTTGAAGGCTGTTTTAATTTGCAGCCTAGCCAAAACCACCCCTTTGAGTCTCTGGGCATACGAATGCCAAATATCCCCATCCTTCAGCAGCCCCCGCACACTCCAGCTGTGCATCCTGAAGTGGACAGTGTAGAGCCAGCTGTATCAGTTCTTCATATGTCATGAAGGCCCCCTGATCCAAAGATATTCCCTGGGCATAGTACTTGTGGTCACCTTGCACCTGTACAGTGAGTGTACAGTGGTCATAAACCAGGTCTGAATGGTCATCTATGCTGTCCACAGACAGCATATCCTGTCAGGGCAAATGTAAGTTATAGAGGAACTTGTATATTCCACCTGTAGGCACCAGGAACCCAGCTATCCCAGGCACATTTCCCCTCCTCCACATCCAACTATACCACCTCTTTCAGTGGCAGGAGGAATTTACTGTGACACACCCATTGTGGATATGGTGACTCCTTTTCTTCACCTGTTTGAAGTTCTGTAGCTCCTGGTGATCCACCCACAAGGGAAGGTAGGAGGGGACCAGAAGTGAAATTTTTTAAAGGAGGCTAGAATGTGGGGATGGTGCTCTGTCTGGTGAAATGGGTTGGAGGAGAATTTGTATGTAGTCTGGGACTACTAAAAGAATGGTGCTAGTTCTGAATTTGGACATGCTTTCTGAAAAGCTATCACAGCATGTCAAGCATTTATGAGGATCCTGGTGGACAGATATGGCAGCAGGTACAGTGACACCATCACCAACAGCCCAACAGCAGGTATTATTAACAGAAATGATAAGTTTGACAAAAGCACAACTGCTAACAATGTAAAACTCAATAAATGTGCTGACGAAATATTTTTACAAAGGGGTTTGCAATGTCACCTTCTTGGTTGAAAGGCTTTTATTTTGCATTTTTAGACAAGTGTAGATATTTAGATGCATTTGAACATGGCAGAGTGAATGTAATTGTTCTACTTGTATCTTAGCCTAACTGCAACAGTTTGACATCATCGCAGAAATGCAATGTCTCACTAAAACCATATTATCAACTAATTTATACCAACTAGTTACAATTTACCCCAAGGGGAAGATCATGGCTACTGAAATCCAGATTAATAGATTACATATAAATCAAAACTCAATCAATAGAGCCAGCAATACACAGATTCCTCTTCTTAACACAACCAATATTAGCCCCTGAAATGTTAAAATAAAACTTCTGGAAATTGAAACCATATAACATAAATAATAATTATTTATTATTGAACTGGGCAGTTCATAAATTTCAGATAACTCCAGGACCGTTAAGTGGCCTGGAGCTCTCCCTTTATAAAGTAATATGCTGCTCTACCTGTGTAAAAATAGCATTGGATGAACCTCAAAAGTGAGGGTAAGTATACAAAACTTATTCCAAAATCTTCAGGCTGTCACCCATATCCTTTGGCCCAGAGGCAGCTTTCAGGCTCCCTCAAATTTGCTCCATCACTTACCCCTCTCGTTTCAGTGCAAGAGAAGGTGTTGCAGGTGAAAGGCCACATTTAACAGCTGTGCACCAGTGATGAAATGAACCCTTCCATTTGAATCTCTGAAAGGATCAATAGCACATGCTACCTGCCTGCAGAAGTACTGATTTTGACTGACAACCCAGACGCATTTTCTTTGAAAAGGTTTGAATGCACTGAACAGAGGGACTGAAAAAACTATATATTCTAGCTGGGAACATGACCTCCAGGCTGTTTTGCTGGTATGCTGAAAGCGGCAGTACATCTGGGTAATCTTTTCTGCTGCTTCTTTTCATTCTTTTGTTTAGTTCATTAAATAAGAATGATGTGCATAATACATATAAAATAGACCCCAAAAAGGATATGCTGAGTCTGAGCACTCATTTTATTAATCTATTAATCTTGGCCGTGCAGAAGTGGAGATTAAACATAACCTCACAGATCATTAAATAAAATATTGAAGTGTATGCATGCTAAAGGACAGACCAGAGAGACCCATGTTATACCTTTCTCTAGCTCCTTGCTTCCAGTCTTATTTTCATATGCTCTCACATTCACTCCATTAACTGCTCATCCTACTGTTACATGGTGAAGTAGATTTTGGAGAGGTAAACAATAAGATAGGCTTTGAAAAAGTTAAAAAATGATAGCTGCACATGTTAAGATATAGAATGTTAGCAGCACATGTTTTTGTGAGTTGCAACAACACACACAGGTTACGGCTAAACTACAAATTTTTGTCAGAAAAAGGTACGCAAAATGCGCTCCTCATTTTGCGTACCTTTTTTTGATTCTTTCATCAGAAGAGGTTTTTCAGACATTTGGCCCACCTAGACTGGGTCAAATGTTGAGAAAAAACCTCTTTCAGAAGCCCCCTTCTTCCTCGTAGAATGTGGAATATGGGGGCTTCTTTGTCTTCCCTGGACACAGCAGAGTTTTTTCAGGATACCACCTGCAAGAAAGTACTGCAGAAAGGGATCTACGGGTCATAGTGGACCACAAACTAAATGAGTCAACAGTGTGACGCTGTTACAAAAAAAGCAAACATGATTCTAGGATGCATTAACAGGAGTGTTGTGAGGAAGACACAAGAAATCATTCTTCTGCTCTACTCTTAGCTGATCAGGCCTCAATTGGAGTATTGTGTCCAGTTCTGGGCACCACATTTCAAGAAAGATGTGAGGAAATTGGAGAAAATCCAGAGAAGAGCAAAAAGGATTATTAATAGTCCAGAGAACATGAGCTATGAGGGAAGACTGAAAGAATTGGGCTTGTTTAGTTTGGAAAGGAGAAGATTGAAAAGGGACATGATAGCAGTTTTCAGCTATCTAAAAGGGTGTCACAAGGAGGAGGGAGAAAAATTGTTCTCCTTGGCCTCTGAGGATAGGACAAGAAGCTATTGGCTTAAACTGCAGCAAGGGAGGTTTAGGCTGGACATTAGGGCTCTGTCTACGCTGGCACCCTTTTCCGTAAAAGGGATGCTAATGAGACACTTTGGAATTGCAAATTCCGCGGGGGATATTTAAATCCCCTGCGGAATTTGCAATTCCAAAGTGTCTCATTAGCATCCCTTTTACGGAAAAGGGTGCCAGCGTAGACAGAGCCCTAATGTCCAGCCTAAACCTCAAGGTGGAATAAGTTGCCTAGGAAGATTGTGGAATCTCCATCTCTGGAGATATTTAAGAGCAGGTTAGATAGACATCTATGAGGGATGATCTAGATGGTACTGGGTCCTGCTGTGAGGGCAGGGGACTGGACTCGATGACCTCTCAAGGTCCCTTCCAGTTCTCGTTTTCTATGATTAAGTGATCCCTCTCCTGTCATCCATTTCCAGCCTCTGACAAACAGAGGCAAGGCACACCATTCCTACCCATCCTAGCTAATAGCCATTGATGGATCTAACCTCTGTGAATGTATCTAGTTCTTTTTTGCACCCTGTTAAAGTCCTGATCTTCACAACATCTTCTGGCAAGGAATTCCATAGGTTGACTGTGTGTTGCATGAAGAAAAACTTACTTTTGTTTGCTTTAAATCAGCTATCTATCAATTTCATTTGGTGACCTTAGGTCCCCTGGTTGTCCTCTTGAAATCTTGAGCTCCACTGGTTGTCCTGACTGTCTTCTCATGCTTTTCCTATCTCTCTATATACTAATAGTGTATTCTTCAGAAGATCCTTTTCATCTGCTCCCATTTTCTGTGGAGGTTATGATTCCTTCTCTTCTCCCTCTACACTGTCTCTTTGTAATCTCCACCAAACCCACACATTTAATTATCATCTCTATGCTGACTGTTCATATCTAACTCTTTACTCCAAACCTATCTTCTTCTGTTCAAGTTAAAATCTCTCTCAAATATCTGCATGGGTATATAGTGGTCAGCTAAAGGCCAGCATTGCTAAAACAGTTATTAATATTCCGTCCTCCTATCCTATTCTTCCCTATAGAAACAGAACCCCTCATCCCATCATTTCACCTGTCATTCAGGCCTATATATTGGTCATAATTGTCAACTCTTGAATTTTCACACCCAGGTTACCTCTAAGTCTTGTGAACTCCTTCTGCATGACATCTCTAAGATGCAGCCTTTTTAAAATCAGTCCAAACAACTAACACTCTTGTCCAGGCTTTCATCTTGCATGTTAATTACTGCAGTGCAATCTCGCATGATTCACGTACATTCCCAATGTTGCTGCAAGGATCATTTTCCTAGCCTGTCAATGTTAGCCATTTCATCCCTCTCTCTGCGTTCCTCCACTGGCTCTCCCTCTTGCATCAAACATAAGATGCTGATCTTGACTTTCAAGGATCTTCTATTAAAATACAGAGCCACAGTGGTCCCGGACCGGAGTAAGCCGGGACTGAGACAGGCTTGTTCAGTCAGGCTTATGCCACATCCAGCAGCCCCTGTCCATGGCCAGCCCTGGCTGCAGTGAACAGAGGCTGCTCTGGAAGCAGCCTCTCTACGCAGCCAGTCCTAGCCACTGTGAACAGAGGATGCTCCAGCAGCAACCTCTGTTCATGGCAGCCCAAGTTGGCTGCAAACAGGGGCTGATGCCAGAGCAGCTTCTGCCTGAGGCCAGCCCAGGCAGCTGCGAACAAGGGCTGCTGCTGGAGCAGGGACAGGGACTGGGGCAGCCTGTATTGGGCAGATTCCCCTATCCCCCTGCCTCCCTCTGCTGCCTCTGGTCAGTTTCAGCAGCGGCTGACTTGGGGACGCCTGGGGCAGAGCAGCTGGGGTGCTGCTGGGTTGCTCCAGTAGCGCCGAGGAGCCGTGCTACTGGAGCAACCCAGCAGCACCCCAGCTGCTCTGCCCCAGGCGTCCCCAAGTCAGCTGCCGCTGAAACTGATCAGCGGCTGATTCCAGGAAGCCTGGGGCAGAGCAACTCTGCCTCGGGCTTCCTGTAATCAGCCGCTGGTCAGTTTCAGCAGCGGCTGACTTGGGGACGCCTGGGGTTCTTAAGTTGAATCTGTATGTAAGTCGGAACTGGCTCCAGCCGCTGCTGAAACTGATCAGTTTCAACCGCGGCTGAATCTGGACGCCAGTTCTGACTTACATACAGATTCAACTTAAGAACAAACCTACAGTCCCTATCTTGTACGTAACCCGGGGACTGCCTGTATTACATCTCAGTAGTACCTGGAGGTCCCTACTGAGACAGTGGCCCTGTTGTGATGGTTGTTGGAGAGACATGAAGTAAGGGACTGTGCCTGCCCAAAAGAGCTCACAATCTCAAGAGAACAGAAAGAATGTGGAAGGAAATAAGATATGTTCTTTTTACAGCTAGGGAGCTGAGACTCAGCTAGACTGTCATTTACCCAATGTCATACACAGAATCTGTATCACAGTCAAGACTTGAACCTAGATCTTTGAAGTCCTATTTAGCAGTTTTACCATAAGATGAACTTGCAGACATTCAGATAAGGTCTTCGTTCTAATCTAGTTCAAAATCCTGCTCTATAATACGTGCATACAATATGTTCAAGATACAGTGTGTGGTGGTAGCTTGAACATATTGTATGCATTTAATATACAGTGCAAATGAGTTTTTGAATCAGTGATTTTTTTTTGTTTATTTGAAAAAACATGTTCTTATCAGCCTCCTACCACCTGCTTTATATGTGTATCTCTGTGTCCTATACTGGAAAATGTCCTGTTGTGCAATGAAATGAGAATTAATTTGTATAACTGCCCACTAATTTAAAGGGAGAGGGAAATAGCCTTCAAATTACTACTTTCACAAGCAGGAATAGTTTATGCACCTACATTTAAAAAAATTCAACTTTCCATTCTTTTGTATAAAGTGTGAAGTTTGGGGTCTGGAGAACATAAAATACATTGTTTGCATAATTGAACTGTAAATGACAACTTCATTTAACACATGGATTCTTTGCAGTTTCTGCCCAAAGATCACACACATGGTGAAGAAAAAAAGTAGCATATGGCATGTATGGAAATTTTTGTTTAATACCTGATATGCATGATCAAGACTATTGTTTACAAAGTGACAGGTATAAGCAATTGAGAATAAATCATTCAGAGTACATTTGGCCGTGCTGGTTGTGTAGAAGCCATTTTTAGAAAGTTGTTCTTATTTAACCATGCTTGCATATTGCTGATAGTTACCTAAGGGAAAAAATGGCTAAGATTTCTTGCTGACGATCTAAGGGATATGAATAAGGATGTTGGCAGATGGCTTACAGATATAATTCTGAAATACCTTATACTGACAAATAACAGTATGTATAATTAGTACTATACAGATGGTATGCAAAATGTTCTTCTGAATCTTAGCACAGACCATTTTTTTGACAAATATTGTTTTAGGAGTTGAGCTTGGAAAATGCTGCAACTCCATTAAGGATTGATCTAATTGTTACCTGAGTGCTAGCACAATGTGCACAAAGCATCTTGGAGCAGAGACTGTCTTTTCATTCTGTGTTTGTACAGTTTGTACCATTGAGGGCATAGTATCTCTCCTTTCCCACATTAAATAATCTACTGGGATTTTTATGTTGGATCCCACTGGTGAGCCTTACTGATAAGTTTTTGACCAGGCTGATGTCAATGCCCCCCATTGACATATAGAATCATAGAAGAGAAGGGTAGGAAGAGATCTCTGAAGGTAATCTAGTCCTGCTGACCTGGGAGACGGGGAGCAAAGCTGCGGAGCACGCCTGCAGCGGGACAGCCCAGCGTGCTCCAAGGCTTTGCTCCCCGTCTCCCTGCAGACCAGGGAGACAGGGAGCAGCTTTTCTCGCCCTGGAGGACGGGGGCGGCGGACCGCGGCACATCTGGGCGTCCCGCCGCTCCCGTCCTCCGGGG